CCCGTCCGAGACTGGAGTTTTGCCCACAAATCGCCAACCTTGTGAGACTTTCTAAAGGGAGAATTATCCCAAACACAGGATACTGCGTTAGGAAACAGTAATTTCAAAATTTCTTCTAAATACTTCCTTGTCGCTACTGCTCAGTTATTACTTCTTGATTCCTGTCCATTGCTCGGGTAATTTTTATGAATTAAATAAATCAGCCATGAAATAAATAACCAAATACTCTTTACTAAATCCTACACGAGACACCGGATCTGCTGTGTTTGTAAACAGCAATTTATTAATAAGCTATATTCTAAAAAAATATTTCTTTATGTATTATACCTATTGATGAATCCATTTATTTATTTCTACATTATATTGGTTATATTAATCACCATTATTATTATTATTGGATGAATTTCATTTTCACAGAGACCAAAGTAATGAATAGAAGTCAAAGTTATAAAGAATTATAAGACAAATTTATGAACCAAATCAAGTAATAGGTAATTGCAATAATAATACTTAAAACTCAAAAAACTTAAGCTCCAAGAATTGGACCTCTTCCATGAAATACTTTAGGAGAGTATTTCATGGAAGAGGCGAGTACATAGTATGGAGTAATTGCTCTGAAGAGCGGATGATCCTGTGTGGGAGCCTGGGAGATTAATCCGAGTGTAGGGAATAGAACAATTAATGGAAAAGGATTCAAGTTGATTCCAGAAAAAAACGGCAACAACAGCTGTCACTTTGTCGGCTACTTTGACCAGGGACTATAAAAGTAATTACCATCAGCACAGGTGTTCAGAACCCGAAATCATGGCGATCCTTGACTTTTCATTCTTTTACCGAAAATTAACTTCAGCACAGGTGTGGAAAGAAAGTGAATCGAGCCCGACTAATTCTATTTATTTATTCATTCATTTACTTAGTGGTCAATCACGCAGAAAGACTAATGGCTGGTCAACAAGCTCGGGATGGTACCATCAACAGCTACAGCGGTCATAGCGGTATTTACCTCTCATTATACCTCTAATCCAAAGTTTCTCAAGGCAATCAAAAATAGAACAAAAGGGGTGGGGTCAAGTGATGAAGCCCACGGGTCTGCATTCTAAAGTCGGAAATCGCTCAATCTAACCTTACGATCCGACCTTCCCATCTATTCGACTATCGTTATAAAAGTGTTTTTGTAAAGCCTAAGCCAAGATGATATAATTCTTTATTCGGCTAACGTTTCGGCGTTGTCGCCTTCCTTAGAACCTGGAAGCGAAAAATGTTTGATATTCACCCATATGGAACACCATTTCAGACGTCAGCTTGGTTCAAGTTTAACCTGTAGTTATCTAGAAAGATCTTGTAAGTCAACTGGGAACCCCCCTTGGAATAGAAAAAATCATCTGAGGACCACCTCTTGAAACGCTTTCCTGGTGGGTGGGCTCCGGGTGACCTGACTATCCATCTTCGGCTGGTTAGCCAGACCTGAAAGGGACGGAGGCAGTCACTAAATTCACATCTGCTGACTTCCGTAAATCGTTGTAAGGACATTCATAAAATAAATTTGCGTATATTTATGTGATTGGTAAATGAATACACATTCAAGGGTAAACGGGAAGTATAGTATGCGATCGCGGAGCCTATAAAAAGANAAAAAAAACTATTATAGTTCCATCAAGGGGGACGAAAGTTAAGGGGACCATTCAGCAAAAGGTGCTTGCGACCTTCATAGATTTGACGACTCCAGAAATTTGGGATTATATCAGAACGAACGACTTATTGGGACAATCCAACTTCTGAAGAGTTCTGCCCACTCCCTCGAAGAGACATCTCTGGCATCAAATATGAGGGAAGGGTAGTTAATATTCAGCACCTACATACCCCACACCTACTTTTGGAATAGTTTTTCAGTGAGTTGGTAGTTGGGTGTGCTCTTAAGCGTTGTCTTACCTCGAAGAATACTCGAAACCGAGTAATCTGTGGAATGAGAACTTCGGGATGGTGGTGGCCAATGTTTAAAACCAGAAAAACTGACGAAATCACCTTTCCATCAGTGCTGAACCGTTTAAGCCTGGTACTTCATCATGCACAACGCACTCAATCCCCTCGCTAAGTTGATTTGTGGCCCAGAAAAAAAACATTCTTTCTGAAGAGTCGAAATATGAGTTGAAATCTACTCATGGATTCCTGTTTTCGTGATTTCGAGCCATCCTATACTCATAAAGTGAGGGCGTCGGGCAGGAATTTTAATAAAACTACCAAAAATGAAAATTGAGCTATTTCGGTGGAAAATGAGTTCATGAATGATGATGGGCTACTGATAAATCAAGGGTGCTCGGAATAGATGAATCTTCTTGGAAAAAGGCGTTCATCGGATAAATCCTATCCAGCTGCCCAAATGAGGAGCACTACGCAGTTGGCCAGAAAACAGCACTAGGTAGTTGACCCAGGCTAGATGACCCTAGGCGAGGTTTGATTCAGGGAACCTACAACT